GGGTATAATATACCTTGTCATATGTAGAATTGGAAGTTTAATTTAGATTACTTTAGAGTGATTATTTGATAGTCTGTTACCACTAATTGCTCTGTGTAGCAGATAGTATGTGATGTAGTTCAGTAATTTATTGAGTTAAGGATAGTGAAGTAAGCAGATAAAGATTAGAATTTGCATATAATCGCAAGTAAATCTCATTTATGTTGATAGTTTAGTTAGCTAAGGCAGTAATTCTGTCCTTCTCGATAATCTTTTGATTAACTTGATAAATTTTTTGTAACCAATTCTTATAAACTTCTGTTTCCCCATTATTCAGTGGCTATTGGATTTACTGTTGGTGCAGCAGTCTCTTTTGGAATTAATGCATTAATTTAATCGGCTGTCACGCTGGAATCAAGTACAAATATAGATTTGTCTTTATTGAAATTTCTCCAAATAACTTCCTAGAAAAGATGGGGATTATTAGTTGATAGTAATGGAAATTCATTCATAATATTACAAATTTTAAATCATTTGATATTTATACGGTAGATGCAGCGGATAGAAGTGGCCAACTGAAAATTTTAAGGCTAAAGTATCATTGTCAGGTTTACGATGTCTCATCTTTCGCAAGTGTAATAGCCTCACCGTTATTTTTACATTTGCCAACATCAGCTTGGCTAAGCACTACCAGATTGCTATTTCGGAGGTGTCTATCTGCACAAGAAACTGCTTCTCAGTCGACACTATTTCTTCAACACAGGCCTGATTGGCCAATAATTTCTATTCTGTTGAGGATAAGAAAAGTGAATTCTTTCCAGAAAGACTGGCGCATAATAATTATTTATTTTAAAATTGACTACGATGTTGACTATTACGCCTTCCATTAGGGATTTACTCTATTTAATAACTCGAATTAGTGGATTATGAACCTTATCGGTTATTAGTATGATGTCGAGCAGCTACCGTAATAATCTACTAACGATACGCTAATCTCCCTAAATGATATATATTTTCTGGGCTAACTGGTAAAAATTAAATTCTTAAGCGCCATAATAACTATGACAATCCTATCCTACTTTAAATAATTTGCCAACTGAGTTTTATTAGATGATATTATATAGATTCTCAGATATTTTAATGATGGGATAGCACTGAATCTTGACCTATATGATTGGGGTATATCGCATGAACCGATTAGCAAATGGCAGAAAATTATGCTGATCATTCCAGCAATGCATTGGAATCCGTTATTGCCAATGGGGTGCTTTTTAGTACGTTATGACACTTATATTAATAATTTATTTCAATGTAGGTGTAGGGAATAGGAAGATATTGAATTGGTGGTTCCGTAGTGTTAAGTAGCATATCTTTAATGCCTTAAAACCGTTCAAAATGACTTCAAAATGTATAACCGAAGGCAGAATGGTTCTGATACTGGAATTCTCTCCACATGCAATAAATTACAGTAGTTCAAGTGAGATATTCTAGATCTAATGCGATTACGGATAGAACTTTGATAATATTCAACTGTAATGCCAGGAGTTTAGCACTTGAGTTAAATTCTTATTTAATTATGGAATTACTTATATGTGTTACAGTAGAATATAATAATTGCTTAGTTAAATGCGATTAGTTACTCGTGCGCAGGGAAAATACCGTAATTTAATGTCCTTGCGTAGAGCGTGGAAGCGTGATAATTTTGCAACCATTACTAGATAGGTAATGCGCTAGGATTTACAAGCGTTTGCATCGAGTACGGTAGATCGGTAGTTCTTCTTGTTAATAGTTTGTTGCTGTTCCGAATCGATACTTGTAAAGAGGAAAAGTTAACTATTACAGAAATTATCGCGCTATCGTCACGGAAGCCAGTAACAACACTAGTCTCTCTTAGACATAACTGAACCCAAACTTTAATATAAAGTCAGTCAATTTATAGAAAATCTATATAAACATTAACTATCAGTTTATAAATAATATTACAAAACTAAGCATTTATCTGTTTAAAATATGTAAAATGTCGTAAACAATGTTATGTAAATACTTTCCTAGATAAACTATCTAATGCAATCTAAGTTACGACTACTACGCAGAAGTTACTCCGTAGCTATTATAATTAGAGTTACAGTTGAAATAATAAAGCTTAATTCGGGTTTTAAATTCAGTTAATCTGATTTCTTATGAACCCATAAGAATTGAATCCACTACACCAATCTTGTGACTGCTAGTCTATACCGTAGATATTTTTAATTGCCAACGATCTGATAATGAATAAGCTCTACGACACACTTCGCTTTTTTGTATGCGTTCTACCCTTGAGATTGGCTTCGCAATGGTTACCATTGTATGGAATCTCTTTTGCTTACAACATTGGAGAAAAGCCAAAGAACAATGTCCTATGATTTTGTGATAATTATTGCTATTGTTTCAATCAGTCTCTGGAGACTAAAAATTAGAAAAACTGGTTCTCAAAGCTACTAAAATTTTCGTGAAACTTGACCTTATGACACCGAGCACTTCTAAGAGGAAAACTAAAAGTTTCCAGTTAAGAGCCTATGAAGATACCGTTCTTAATTTGAATTAAATTCAGTGGCGATAATGATAAGTAATTGAGTCAGTGTTTCACTAATATATTTGTAAAGAGGCTTTAAAAGTTAAAGAAAAACTGCGTTGATAACGAATACTATCGAAGACAAGATAGAAATAAGACTAAAGTGGATACAAATACGGTTCTAAGGGCATTTGTGGAAGGTGAACAGGTAATATCCGGTGATCGCTGCGATGTTTTCTTCATGATCGATCGTTGGTCTTGTTCAGCCTCGATTCAAGTTTGTCCTCGTTTTGGTTGATATAAAATCCCGTAGAAGAATTTGGGAATAATAAGTCAAGTATGCTAGTCAAAGCCACTGAAGATAAGCCAGTCGATAGGTAATGCTATCGATGTCGATGCTAGATAGTTTTGAAGAATTCCTTTTAACCAAGATAGGTCCGAGAAAAAGTACTGCTGTTTTGAATGTTTCTCACTTTTTCCTTCTATTACCCAGTTTCAGATTGCTAGTAGAGCTGCATTGGCTAAAGTTATAGTACAAAATAGATCGGTCTGTCTAAATATTTTCCAATCAGCAATGCTTCAAAGTCTTAAAATCTGTAGTAATAGTTTATCATATTAATATAGATGATATCCTAGTAAGAAAGATGATTTCGTACTAATGATGACCGTTAACATTTGCAATTTTTAATAGAAAATTATACAGCTATTACCAAGATTCATCTTCACTATGTCAATCGTTAGGACATAGAAATTACAACCACTCATCGAACATAGCATTGATAAATGTAGATAGCATTGCTAAAAGTATACTAAAATGCAGTCCTTATTTGTTTGGAGACTAAATTCCCTAGGATATTCAGAATGAAACACTAGCGACAACAAATGCCTTTCAATTGCGGTTGAATAATGATGGCATTTTCCCGTTCGATTTCTATATCGTCTACCTAAAGTATACTAGGCCTTATATGGAGTCGTAAACTGTTATATATGTAGACATTAAAAGGAATTAGCTTTTGCATATATGCTAAAATAAGATGCTAATAAATCGAGTGATTAAGCAAAATAGAATTAATGATCCGATTTATGAATTAGATAGCGATGAACGAATTATTATTCAACAGTTTATGTGCAAATTATGTATGATAATCGATCACGTCGTTTCTACTATCTTTGATGGGCTTGGAATTGCTAAGAGTACGATAGGATTATAAGCCGGCGATGGCTCATAATTTGGCTAATTACTTCTTTCATTAAAATTATATCAATTTTATATCAGCATAAAGTTGTATTTAACTATCTGTTTCAGATATTATTTAGTTTACATCACCTTCGTTATACTTGGAATTGTGAGTGCGATGCCTATACGAATTTTTATTTCTGCAGCATCGGTAAATATAAATAGAATTCCCTCTATTTCTGTTAACTTGCACTATTATGAGCTATATTCATTTTACTTGTTCACTTTTCTATCCAACAATATGGGTGTTGCTATATTTGGGTAGTACTACGCGGTTAAACTGAAAGGTACGCCATATCAATATGCTGTTGAAAATTATATCATCTTGGCTTACAGTCTACCCTGTCCTCTTGGAAGTACTATCAACATATTCTTATTACGATCGTGAGTTAGCAGAACATCTATTTCTCACGTTAATTATCATTTTAGCTCTATTATAATATACTAGAACATTAATAATTCAACTACAATTACCTTGATCTTACGTAGAATCAATGTCAGAAAACGTATGACATTTTCTACCATTATCTTAATAATCTCATTTATCATAACGGCAATTTTGGCTGAATTGGATACCTCAAAGTGTAAGACTTCCCTAACTAGTAAAAATATGATGCTATGTAAATTGCTACCACCTACAGTCTTGATCAGAATTTAGTAATGCTCTCTTTTTATCGAGGTTCAACAGCCATCATAGGGTACCGTTTTAACATTAATAACTAGAGTGATTACTATTCTAAATAAATTGGACTGATTAAAAAATGTGCTTTCATTATCATAAATGAACTTGTGATTGCAGCACTCATCTAATTTTCTGTATTTTAATCCTCATTTACGATTTATAAGAATTCGTTTAAAAATATACCGACTTACTACTGCCACATAACTATAGCTAATGAAAATCAATTCTTTACAGGGAAAGGAACCTTTATTATCCTAACTATTGCTACCGTCGCTTTCAGCAGTTGTAAGTATATACTTATATAAAAAATAGTAATAATTTGCTGTCTTAGTGCGCTATCAAATGAAATAGTATAAGCTGAATTGCTCTCTCAGTTATAGTGCTTATTATTACAGTACTTTTGCTATCTTGGTGCTATCTATTATAAGTTAATAAACGACAACACTATTCAATAAAAACTTTACATCCTCAGCAGCTCATGCCTATTGCTGAATTGTAAGTTTTTAAAATTGGCCAAATTCTTCTTTTGAATAAGCTGTAGGAATGATAGAATTTATAGCATAATTTCAAAAAGACCAGCGAATCTTAATGTAGTCTTTTTTACTAATAAGCCCCCAAAATTGAAGGGGTACATTCCCTTAAAACTATTGTAAGCATAATTGTTGCTATACGTGTATGGTATTCATAGGATACTATGCATTTAGTTTATCCTTTGTAGGCTAATTCTGAATACTAATTTTTATAGTAAATGAAAATTGATAATAACCGTGATTAAAATGATTTTATTATACTTCTTAATCGCTGATTATTCAAATGATTTTTTTTCTTGCGCTCATCCTTGTCTGCTTCCTTGTACATGACTAACTTTTTTTCTTAATTGATGCATGATAACATACGCAATACAAATTATATCAAAGTGTTTGGAACTACCGTTTACTTATCCAGCCTTCATGGATTGTCTAGCATATTTCCTAAAGAATATTCACAAGCTGTACAAATTGGCCAAGTAAGCATTAAATACAAAAGTACTGAGTAAATAAGTGTAATCGTATTGAAATCAAGAGTATCTATTTATAAATTATCGCTATTCTTCATCGTTTCGTTCTAATCCTGGAATATTCACTGTAATTTGTAGCTACAGTCATTCTGCTTAAATTATTTATAACCTGAAATATTCCTCTTGTAGGCTGTGTGTGGTGTCTTTACTGCAGCGGTAAATGTCCTATCCATAATCGGTATGTTACTCTATAAGCTTTAACATTGATCTGGAGTATATAGCATTGATTTCCACCTAAATTATATCACTAACTTACCTTCATCCAGATTATCTATCAATAACTCACTTACACGTACACATAAAATTTTGTCTATATTGTACTATGATAGTTGAAATTATGAAAAATTAAAATTGAATACTTAAATAAATAGAGCAATTAGCATCGTAATTGAGGATTGACTTCTTCAAGCTCGCCTTCTATTCCGCTATACAAGTGAAGTTAAATGCAAACTAGATGTCATAAGTAGTATTGGAAAGTAATATGTTTAGTATCACTTATCGATGTAATTAATCAACTTTACGAATTTGCCTGCAGTCAGCTTGTAGCAAATGATCATTAGAGCTTATACCTAATTTTTTGAGAAGCATTCATATCACTGGTTCCATCATTTCGATACTGAATAGCGATCCTAGTTACTGTCAGGAATTGATTATTATGATTATAATTAATCTATTCAGTATGGCATTCCGTAAGACATAGCGGCGTTGGATATTTCTGCAGCGGAATAATCATACTACTCCTGGCCTTGATTATTCAACTGTTGCTTAAGAAGAATGTTAGTTTACGTATTACTAATGATTATACTTGAATGGAATTAAAATATGATAAATAAATTATTACAAATATTCTTCATTGGGCAACTAATGATTAAATGTCAATAAGTTTATTTCGGATTTTATTTTAGGCATTTGCTAGATCATATATGGAAAAAAATTTGGAATACGGTCAGAAATACCTTCATTCATTAGATTCATTAATTACAATAGGCCAATTTTTATGAAGTATCAAGCATCATCCATTTGTTGCAGCTATTATTATTTTGTAACCCTTTGCTTGATGGGACTATTCGAAAATTACTCTATCTTCCTTTTTATAACAGATGTGCAGCAGAAAATGAAGCAGGACAGAGATGATGATCAATTTTGTAGTGAATCTGATGAAGAGTTTGACCATATAAAGTACGACAAGAGTACTATTAAACGTGTTATGTATATTACAAGAAAGGTAAAGAAAAAAAGATTGAATGCGTTATCATTTGCAGTTATTTTTTATGGAAAGATAGAATGTATCAATATATCCCTATTTTATTCCAGATATGGCCAATACTCTTAGCTCTTTTTCTATGCTATATAGTCACACATATGGTTTATCCATCTATTACCACTCGCATTTTTTCTATTCATAAAGAAAGTCATGGCCCATTAACAGGTATATCTGCGCTAATTACATAATCTTGAAATATTAGCATTAACCACATATTCAATTGATTTCAATAGCCCAATGATGCTATAATTTCTTTACTTGTTAATAATAGTAGACACAATAAACGTTTATATTTCAACTATGAAACTTTATATCGACAATTTAGTATTTCTTTCAAAGTTCTACGTTCTATAATCTTGAGTTTATGTATTACTATAAATGAGTATGCGGGGAAAAAAGTAAGCAGATGAATTCGCATTTAGTGTCATGATATTTAAGTCATAACTTGGCTATGGTATCTAATGTTGTAGATTGTATTGTCTAAATTGTGATACCTTTTTAATTATGTCAGGGAGATTATTTATACCAGTCGCATGCTTTCTGGTATATGCAATAGCTGATTTAGTTGGCCGTATTATTTCTGGATGGATATTAATGGTTGGTTAAACAGTATTTTACATAAATTGAGGAATTTATTATTTAATAGAATTTTGATGAGGATATTCTAACTTGACTCATACTTTTTATTGCATGGACATCGATCTGTCTAGCCAAACTATAATCAAGGCCTATCTCTGTTATTTTTGGCTGCATGCAGATTTATTCTTGTTCCACTCTTCATATACTGTAATGTCCAACCACGAAAGCATTTATCGGTTAAAATTCATAGCGATGTTGTTTATATTATATTGATACTGGTGCTAGGTCTTTCTCAAGGCTACGTGAAAACCTTAACGACAATGTATGCTCCAAAGTAAGTCCAGGACCCAAAATAATGACTACTTAGTGCTATTTATGACAAATATATTAATTGAGCAAAACCTAGTATATTCTACTATTTGTAATTAATTTTTACATGAATGTATCTTACTGTTAAAGAATATAATTTTCTAACAGTATTTTTAATATTAGAAAATATTTAAATATCAAAATAATGTGCCCACATTCAGAATATCTTTGCATTTATAGATGATAAATGATCTTATTTCTAGAAAGAGATTGTAATTAGTATCTTTTATATGTAATATTCTTATTTAGGTTGGTCCATTCTCGATTTAAAGAAGCTACAGGAGCAATGGTTTATTTCTGTATTACTATTGCATATATTGTTAGTTCATTGATGGCATTCGGGGTCAGCGCAATACCTTAGTTTATTAATATTGAGACATTAACTATAACGGAAAATATCAATGAAATGAGATGAATTTTTACATCTTCATCATTAAAACATTTATTTTTTGTTTTATAACTGCGGTATGGTTTATGTGTATAACAATTAGATCATCAGACAGTAGAGTGATATACTATAGGTTCTATTCTTAGACAAGGTTTAAGTATCAAATTTCCAATTAAATTTTGAGAATAATCAACTTTTTATTTTACGGTAAAGCTATATAGCTTATAGCAGAATAGCTTGTTAATGTGCTTCAATATCTTATCACCAGTTAAGCTTGCAAAGTCAACCTGTACATAAATTCTTTGCTAGTTAATCTGTATCATTGACGCAACATTGAAAATAGGAAACGTTATGATAATCTAAAATGACGAAAAATAAAGTTTATTTTGTAAAGTTTAATTTATTTGAAGTATATTAGAAAACATTTGGAAATTTACCATCATGGAATATGAAATCGATAGCTTCGAAACAGCGTGATTTGGGCTAACGAAACCCATTCTCTATTTATTTATATTTGCAATCTCTAGCTATCTACGGATTTATAGTAGATCTACTGCGGTAATGTAACTTAAGATACAATAAATAAAATGAATTGATTTCCTTTTTATTGAAAATTTTTATTTTAATGAGATGGTTATGTTAAGTTAAATTTATTTAATTTTTTTTTAATTTGCTGTGTCGAAGGATATTTGATCTTTGATCATTGTTTAGTATTAGAATCCTGATAGGTCAAATAAAAGTTGATTAAAAGGCTATGTTATGGCATTCTGCAAAAAAATTTTGAATTCTTGAATTATAACCTAATTGCAGTATGTAAAAGATTAGTAAATGTTCTATCATAAATACTTGTAGCCAAATACAATTTAATTAGCGACTGCAATATATAGTACATTTTTGGCGAAAAACGTTAACGTGTCTACTTTGTCTAAACTATGATTTATCATTGTTAGATAGCTAGTCTGTAAGTTTTATTAATTATCACATTGTTACAATTCTCGTTTGTAACTAGAAAATGGGTCTTAAACACTATCTTCACTAGTACTTGTGTTCCTGTAATGTAACTAGTATTGTGATTGTAGACTGTTAGCCATCTTTAGTATAATATACGGTAGATATTATCCTACGAGATATTTGGTAGCTATAACTATAGACTATTGTGGTATAGACTTTATGCTAGAGTACAGATGACTATATACAGTAAGGAATTGAGTTACTAATAAGGCTATAGGTAAAATAGAAAGTTAAATCATATATTAGGATATGGTTAATTCATTGTACTTTGGCTAGTGTGAATAATGTCTACGTAAGCACTGTAGTCTTATCCATATTGGATTAATGATGGTCCGCAGTAGAATAGTCTTCCTAAGAATAATTTAACTATGTGTAAAATAAGGTAAAAGGTTGCCATGCGGATTGTAGCTGCGAATGCTACGGAAAGTATAAAAGCATGCAACTTTAGATTATTCAGTTAGTTCGTTCTAGAAGTCTTTAGTAGTAGTATTCGGTTAGAGTAGAGCTGTGAGTAGCTAATCTTTGTATAAGATTCAATAAAGCCCTTATTTTTCTAAATTTGGAATTTCGTGATTGGTATATATCACAGTTCCCAACTAACTTAGATACCTATCGTAGTTTAACTAACTCTCGACTACACAAATAAGCTACTAATGAGTAATAGGTTTAAATACTTCACTTTATTTACGTTAAGCTTAGACTTAAAATGTACTAAAGAAAAACGTAAGAATATTCTTAGCAATAATAGTCAAGTGATCCTGCAAGTGACGAAATGGAGCTGAGCAGCTAAGCTAGTGCTCAGCTTTTTATAGTCTCAGCCTACGCCGATGGTGCACTTATGAATATTCTTGACATAGCGACTTACACTGTATAGTATACATATCCTAGTATATCGGTGAGAATATTTATCTGTTGAGTCGCTTAAGCCATTCCGTAATAAACGTTGAAAGTTAACATGATACAATTTGCTAGAAATATTCCTGTAATTTTCTTCTTACAAGAATATCTTGAGTTCCAAACGGTAAAGGCACAATGTTTCTTATTCGAAATCCCACCGCTACCACCAATTGTTACACACATATTGTAAAATATGTACGAATTAATATACATAGTTAATGTGCTTAAGCGTATTTTAAAGAATTGAGAGAAGTTCATTTACAATAATATTTATAGTTTAATTTGGAATGGAATCAAAAGGTAACATCTGCTGTAACTTACGCGATTAATTTCGATAGTTTAATTATGATTACTTTGCAATAGAATAAAACTTATGATTCTAACGCTATAAAACCATAGATTGTTCTGAGTAGCCTATCCTGCAGTTCGTTAGTCTAGTTGGTCAAAGTGTAGAAGTAGAGCTGTAATTGAATTAGGATGCTCAGTAATTGTGAGCAGTTTTAAATTATCTTAATAGTTTAGTTAATTGAAGCCGTATACATTGCTCTCTTGTCATACTTTGATTGTATTTCAGTGCTTGCTGTCTTTAAAAAGCACCTTTTCCTATGTCATATTGTCTTAAATCAGAATTATTTCATTTCTAGCAAATTTCAAAATTCTTTTTTTCAATTATCTCTGTGGCAGATTGAGAAATTATATTAAATTCAACACTGTTGAAAGAATAACTGCATGCAGTACAAAATTAATGCATTTCTTAGTCATTGATAATTTTGGAAACTAGCAATATAGGTAATTTCAATTTTAGTTTTACTCCCAATAAAAATTACAAAATTCGACTTAAGCATTTACTAAATACCGTGTACAATTCAATTTATCAGCAAATTTTCAGATTATAAAATATGCGTAATCGATGTATTAAACCAGCTATTTCTCTGCAGATAAATAGCTGGCAAGAAAAGGCGATAGACTATTATCAATCTAGAAACCTAGATGATGCAATCTCTTATTGTACTGAAATATTAGAAAATATTTAAAAAGTATGCAGAAGATCTCTTTATCTTAATCGACTTCAATTTGATGTTTATTTACTTATTGGTGAAATCCAGATAATACGATATAAATGGATGAAGCAGAACAATTCAATAAAAAAGCGCAAAATGTAGCTGATAGGCTGCAGGAAGAAATGTTAATTACTCAATATTTAGACAGAAATGGCAATATGAAGCGATCACTAGGTGATTGGAATGGGGAATTAGAAGTTTATAATAAATTAATAGATATAAATTTGGATTGCTTAGACAAAAAAATTTAAGTATTCGCAATTCAAATGAAATTATAGGAACTGTTTATTGCGCTCAAGGTAGCTATGAAGAAGCTTTTACCAAGTATGAGAAATTGCTCAAGATTAAATTATTACTCCATGCTCACAATCTTCCTGAGGTTGCCAAATCTCATAACAAGATTGGAAAGGTGTATTGTAATCGGACAAAATATGCAGAGGCTATTTCTATACAAGAGATTTCGCTTAAAATTCAACTGTCAGTCTTTGATTCCATTCTGATGTTGCGGTACCCTACATCAGCTGTGGCCTTTTCATCAAGGTCAAAATAAAGAGACGATTTCAATGTATGAGAAGTTGCCCAAGATCCAATTGTCACTCTTTGATTCCAATCGTCCAGAAATTGCCAAGTTCCACAATAACATTGGTCTCATCTATTTCAATCAAGGCAAGTATGGAATGGCAATTTCGATGCATGAGAAATCACCTCAAATTCGGTAGATAACTTTGGATCATAATCATCATGATATTGTTACAACATATGGCAGCTATAATATATGGTAATATTGGTCTCATTGTTTCTAAACAAGGCATGCATGAAGAGGCTGTTTCCATGCATAAGAAGTCACTTAAAATTCGATTATCAGTATACGATCACAATTATATTAGCTTTATGACAATTTTGATTATTAATACTGGCTTAATTTTATTGAAATAATAAGAGCTATGAAAACAGGCAGAAATTTTGGGTATTTTATACTTAAAGTAGATTACACCGTCATTATCTTACTGTTTTAATTATCATATACTACGAGCGTCATTCTTACATAATTTGGAATGAATGGTCTGCCTGATTTGAACGAATAAATTTGATACTACGCTGGAGCTTATATGCACATTGCTCAATCATCAAACGAGTATTTTTATAGATAATTTTAAGAACCGGTGAATTGACCATTTTCTTCATTTAATGTCATAGCTAGGACAATATCACTATGTATTAGTATCGATCTGCCTCAAAATTTGTAAATTCGAAAACAGCTATGCATATTCCGATTTAATTTCTGTAATTTTAAGAAAATTAAATCATTATAACTATACGCATATCTTTCTACTACAACGCAGCTTTGAAAAAGGATGTTTTATTATATTATGGAATGAAATAAAGATTTAAAATAGTAGATGTGATTAATTTCATTATGACACGAAGTTTGATCTAACTATGCGAGTACTCAAGAAAGGTTTAATTTAGATGAGGCTAAAAATATCATCATTACATTATTTTATCTTTCAAAGGTTGCTAGTATTCATCGTCATGAATCAATTTTGATATATTTCTCGTATCATGATTGATGATAAAAGGATCTAGGATTGTTATTATGAAATAAGCGAAATTTTTACATGCGCGCATATTATATTTCGCATTGATGGCTATAAAATGCCATTATCTGCTTATTAATCCTTGTCTAATATAATGCTTTTCGATAGTTACTAATCTTGTTATAGTAGCCACAGATCAATTTACTGTATTTTTGTTTTGATATATGTTTAACGTTGCAAATAGTAATTTACTATCGTATGATAGGTCATGTGGGAAAAATTCCTTGCATTGTCTCCTGTTTGCATGCACCGTCAGGCTCTACTGATATTTTAATTTTTATTTAGGTGTGTTCAAGCTCAATTTAATGAATCGGCATAAATATTAACTTTTATTGCTTTTAATGTTGAAATGACTACTGGTGCAGTACGATCATTTGGAATAAATGTGCTCACTTATTTCAATAAGCAGTCAAATTATTTTTTCAGCTAAACTTAGTAGTGAAAATATTTGAGATTACAGTCAATATTGCTGTACTTCAGCACAAAATCTTAGTATTATAACAATTACACGGAGTAATATGGACTAAATCAGATTTCTGCCAAGTTTTTCACCATGAAAAATTCATTATTTTGAGATTCTTGCGTAGATAAGTGTTAAAGATTTTGAATATCTTGTATTTCTACTCTTACATGTCCCACCATATACTCGACAGCAATGCAGTTCTTTAAATCATCTGAACCTTTAATCCTTTAAATTTGATAACTCTAATTATCTAGAATAAAAATAACAATAGCTTTATACCTGATTATTTATCGTAATTATATTCTTGTAAGGGACCTTGTATTAGTTCATTGGCGTAAAAGAATTTACCGGCTTCAAATAAGTGGTATTGATTGAATTACTAAAATTAATAATTTATTGATTTTTTAATTAAGTTTTCCTTCTTCATTCTCATGTTGACTGATCTGTCTCACTACAACACTACTTTTAACTGGAATTATCGACATTAATTGCAAGCATGTCTTTGCTTTTCCTCTATATTGGGCTCTGATAGCTGCTGATAACTAACGTTATCGCATAAAATTCCAAATGTTATCATGAAAATGAAAACTGGTATTTTCTCCTTGAAAATGACAATCGTTTGAAGTGACATTTAAGCTATTATTGGCTGAAGCTTTCTTCTCAATATTAAATCTACAAATCAATTTAGTCCAGAGATGATAGAAAACGCATATTCTTACCGCTAGGGCTTCGGATACAAGACTGTAGAATATATAATATTACTTCTGTTGCATTTAATGAAAATCTTTATAGGATTGTACTTGTAACGGTTGATATTATGCTATTGATTTTCTTCATCCAATCGTACCAGAGGAATGTTATTCTTGTATAATGATTTTATAAAGGTACTAACTTTATGAAGTAATTGAGGCACACATATATGTAACACATTAGAGATTTGCTTTAATTTGACAACTCAGAATTTTGAGTTGTTGGATTCCGAACTTAGACTTAAAAGGATCTACACGACATTGTATGACATTCGGATTGACTAATTAGATATGTAGAATGTCATAAACAGTGGCCATTTCTTTGGTAGACAATCATTTTGTTGTAATTGTCGACATTACTCCTCGGGCAATTAGCAACAGCATCACTTACACGGGAATAATATAAGAATCATTTAAATAATATTATTTATTTACAGATCTCCTAATTAGGCGATTGTAAGCAATTCATTCATGTTGATAGTTGGCTAAACAAATAGAATATGCAATTAAATCATGTACGGTAATGAATGTAATAATAATACTATTTAATGATGAAATTGAATAGAATATTGTTCTCGATCACGGTTTACAAAATGATTGTACAATTTAAGGCGATATCAAGGTAAACTTGCTTTGATTGATACAATATAGCGTAGAAATGCCTCTTTAGGCTTTTAATTTAGTAAGGATAATTATTTTCATCTTTCAGCTATTTTACATTGTTACTATACTCCATTAAGTTGGACTAAATTTACTTGGTCGAGTGTAATCTAATCATGAATTGAGCGGCTTAATCTTTCCATCATGACATCGAATTGCCTTAATACTAGACCGGTTGACAGGTAAATTAATTACTAGTGGGATAAAAACTGTACTTCGACTATCCATGTAATAGAATAGATATCAAAGCTCTTCTATTGGCTTTCGTCTAAGTCTCATTTTTACTGTATGTATTTTAATATAATGCGTAAATTTCCGATCATGATTGATTACGATAGAAAGGTAGTCGTACATGCTACCAGGGATCATATTGATGAGAACAGTGACGATTTAACTCATTTTTGCCCTAATCTATAATTCCTTGGCAATTATCAGCTTTACATTCATTGCCTTATTTAATTTTATCAGCTTCAAAAAAGGTAGCGGTAGATGACTAAGGCTTTCTTATTTCCAATCTTATGCCGTAACTATCGCATCTCTAAGCAAGTTACAGACAAAGTATATGCTGCAGCTATATCGTAACAATCTGCTGCAAATAATTATGATATTATATTCGTATTAACTCTATACTAAGCGTAGAGTATTCATCTTAGCTGAATTTTTGCATCCTAGTCTTGATTAAACTTAATTGTTAATTTGTGAATAACCGAAATAAACGGTTTAGTACTAAAAGGTAACTCGTTTTTAATTATTTGTAATGTAAGCATAATCGCTTTAAAATTGGCTAAAGATTTGACTCTAGACGGATTAAAATTACTTAGAGTCCTATTATTTTAGTTATTACTCATTTTGTCTAATATTAGTAAATTTCTCGTTCAAAAGAACGGATACATACTCTACACAAAGCAACAAGTTAAAAAAGAAAATTCATAATTAGATTCTCTTACTATTTATGCTTGTAGGATTGCCTTACTGATATGTCTCTCAGAGAGCTTTACTCAATTGACACGCTTAATTGATTTCATTAGATCTTATTTCTAAGAAATGATTTTATTTGTTTCTACATTTTCTTATTTAGTATGACAAGTGCTGTACTGTACTGTACATGTTCATTCTTTCGTAAGTCAATTAAATATATTTAACGAATATTAATAGAATTATTTTATGTTTAACATAAAATTAACAAAAGGATATCACAACAAAAACGGATAAACTATATTTAGATTATTAAAATTACAGCAGTTAGTTAATGTAGTATTACTTCTAAATACGGAATAATTTATTTTTAGTAAAAGTATTAGTTTTCACTAGACTGTAGCCTAATTCTAAGACTGCAACATAATTCTAAATATGTTTGATCTATATTTAACAATTTACTCTGTGGAAATATCTTGTACTCTAGCTAACTTATACCGTAGCGCTAGCTTAACATAGAAGTAACCTATTTTCATGATTTATTCGAGCCTATAAATAATTTCCTCGTTCTATGCTCCTAACGTTATAAAAGCTATCTTCTTTCGTCTATCGCGTTAGTTAGTTCTGGTAGTTACTCGGTAAGCTTGCACACTTTACCTATTCTACACTACTATAGTTATTCGACTAGTCACGTCGTTACTCGCACTATAATCTTACACGATTATTCTCTTACACTAGCTTAATAAAGGTTACTCTTCCGTTAATTATTCTATTGTACATTATTACGACTAATGCCGAACTCTCAACCTTTCGAAACATCACAGTTAATTTACTTTGTATTCCTTAATGCTGAAACCATGCCTATTACGCTCTTGAACTTCATCCATCTGATCATTTTGACATTGAATAACGTTTAAAGAGAGTTTGCTTTATTCAATTTGTAGCACATTAGTTTTAAGATGGACGATGTTTGTACTCCAGGACGTCATTTATTGATTAAGAGTACTGCATATCTACGGTAAAATTGAGTAATCTTTACTTTTCTTCTAGCGAATGTCAAGTTTCGTTCCGCTTGTTACTATAGTTGTCAACATGCTCTTCTACTGCATATTTGAAACAGCGAACACCATATTACATTTACTTTATTTTTAAGCCGATTTCGTATACATAGTTACAGTATACTATATTGCGATAAGGGTTTGATGAAGTATAAGCAGCATAGTTATCAGCGGCAAAAGTTAAATTCACACGAAATATCATGCTTAGGTAACAGAGAGATTTTAAGGAACAAGTATCGTATGAGAAAGAGAGAGAAAAACAGTAGTTGCAGTAAATTAGTGCATAACTAAACAACTCAGTAGTATTAAACACTACAACGATTGTAGCAACTGGGCTATAATGATAAGTCAGCGATCTTTGCACCTTTAGAAGAGGACAGTTGCAGAGCGTATATCTGTACAGATAAATATATCGTATATTGTGATTGTTTAGGGTAGTACCTAAAAATTGCAGGCACTAACAAGTGCACTGTAAGTACTATAAATAACTAAACTGAATAGTATATATTTATATTGTGATACAAAAGATTGCCAATTATATCCTGTATGTATGCTATGCATCCGTGAACTAGTCTCACAGTAAGGTCCAATACAGTATAATTACCCACAATGAAGGCAGGCATAAATTGTTATTGCAAATTAATCTTTGAATGGCACAATTTCATATCTGGAATGAACATGGAAAGTAATGATTATTTTACACTATATCCATTTGATTTACTGCCTCGATAGATAACATTTAAGTCATGTGATCTTTATTTAATATAAAATTTCGAATGATTATCGTTCAGGTTCTCGACATCGCATTTAAATTACTTTGATTTAGAGCTTGGATAGGGGTTAATTGACGTCGGCATCTTTGTTAATTGTTTATTCTGTCCTCTATAATCCATTTAATTTGAATTTATTCGCAGGTATGATTAAATATACTTCACTTATATCATTCTTAGAATAGCTAGTAAATTAAATCACATTTTCACATCTTAAATTGTTATTGAGTTTAATGTAGAAATTACTTTTTCGGATTTCAACTGTTAATTTGTCATCATGCCAGACTTGATTTACTCATTATGCCCCTGTTTTTATTTAAATTTGAACCTCCTTATATAATTTTACGTCATTTTCGATCAATTACAATCACTATCAGGCATTATCAAGTTCCTATCATCTCACGATGAGCAATAAATCTAATATTAGACAAATTAAAAGTTTTCTTATCAAACACTTACTCTATAATTTGGACATAAAAATCTTCCGTCATTGTAGGTACTACATAATTTTCACTATTTTCATCATCCTCGGAATTGCCAGCACCTTGCCTATACATATATTTTATACTGCGTCATCGGTAAGATATCTATTTAATATTATCATTTTCTAATGTGGTAGTCTAGGTCATTGCTAAATCCATATACTGGTAACTGTTAATCATTTTTATCATCAAATAATTCGAACATGTGGCAGTACTACAAAGCCAAATTGAAAGGGACAGCATATCAGTATGTGATTGAGAATTATTTGATGCTGGCTTATAGTTTACCTACACTGTTTGTAGGTGTTGTCAATCTTATAGTACTTCGATCGTAAGTTGATAATAAAAGGCAGCATTAATGGCCTAAATGTTAATCTGATTCGCATCAAATCTGGAAATACCTAAGCTTGACTACCTTATTTTTGGTCTAGAATTGACGTTAGGAAGCGGCTTACATTTTCGGTGATTGTGATAATAGCCTCTCTTATAGCCACTACCATATTGGCAAAATTAGATACAACACAATGTACGTGTTTACTTTCTATTGAATATTTTTATAAACGAAATCATAATATATTTGTTATTTTGCTTTTGTAATCTCAAATTATTTCTTTTTAAAAATGAGCCATAAAATGCTAGTCCGTCTAAAAAAACAACATGGATACGTAGTTATGCATGTTAAGGATTAAATTGATTGACAATACTGCATAAAGGATCAGTACTATAAATTAGCTTAGAGCAATCAAGTTATCAATTACTTTTAAGTTGAAATATTGTGTATAATTTTGAGTAAGAAGCGGTAGTATCCATAATTTTTTATTTTATTACTATAATCCTATATTAATTCTATGACTTGAACAATTGTCTTTTCTCATCTCTTGAAGTCCTATAGAGCTAATTTTAAATTTTAATTTGTTGTAGGGCAAAGAACCTTTTTGATTTTATCCCTACTAATTGTCTTCCTGAACAGCGGTAAGTAAAGTGTCTTCGGATAGCCTTGCAATATTTGTAAAGTACGTTACCGTCCTATTCTATCATTTTAATGCAGAAAGCTATAAAATCTAAAATATACTGTCAAGAAGACAGTATATAGAAACGGAAATAACTGGTATCGGCAACTTGTAAACAGATCGATAGTGATAGTTTTACAGCACGAAGTAGTTAAAATTTAATTCATTTCTATTGAAACGATTGCTTGAGATTAAATCACATCGTCTTTGTAAATTTTAGTGAAAGGTTATTACAAATTTAGGCTTGTAACAAACAATTAAGCTTAAAGGAAACCTCAATTAGGGTTAAATGCTTCTTTATTTCACGAGAAGAAGACAACAACGATTACTAGTAATCTATCAATCAGTTTTAAAGCCTCTTATTGCAATCCTATTTTTTTAGTTTTAACAATATTTATGAAAAATCAGGAAATCGAATTGATCTTAATGCAAATTGTTTATAGTTATTTAACGGTAGCTTTTGTCAAGCTGAGGAGACTTGCTTAATTCTGTTTACCATTAATATCCAGTGTTTGGGAGTACCATGTATCAAGGAAGCTTATTTGGGCTAGCTGGTATATTTCCAAAAGAATATACACTAGCATTGATTACTGGCCAGGTAAGAAATTTTTGATCACTATTTAATAATTTGATGGTGGGAATAATTCGTTCAATTGATTTTGTTTGAAGTATACGCGGACTAGGCTAGCATTTTACTTAGAATAATAGCGTTTATATTTTGATCAACTTTACTTATTCTTTAATGCGAATACTGTAACTTGTTTTATAAATCATTTTAATTCTTTTACAGGCTCTTGCTGGTGTTTTTACAGCAGTAGTCAATATCATATCATTAGTCGGTAAGATATACACCTTTCCTTTGTTGATCATGGTATAGTGTCTTTATTTAGATACGGATGTCAATGTGTTTCAATTGAAGTAGCGATTTAAGTGGTATATTGTCTTTTCATCTTCAATTGCTGCCTTAAATAGCATGTACGCAACAATATATTGACATCATTAGCAGTTTAACCAACGGCTAATTAAATAACATATTTAAGAGCTAACATTACAGGTCCATTTAAGAGATAGATCATGATTATAACGGAATTAAGATCTTTCTTATACTGAAGACTTGTATTTATCGTATGCAATTATTGCTCGCTCAGTAAATAATCAATTGAATCGAAAAATAAGAAGCCTAATCTATACGTTACGTAGTTAAGATCGAAAAACTAATCAAGTTATAAGAACCAGATTTTTAAAACCATCTACTTAAAGATAGCAAATAGAATGATGATTTCAATGCAACTAGAGGAAAATCAGGAAACAATTGTTTTCATCTTGTTAATTGCTTATATTATTCTAAATGACGAGCTAGATTAAACTAATATCTTAAACTGACTAAATCTATAATTTTCGCTAAAAAATTTGCTTAAAGCTGATCTTCGATTTATAACCATATTGTTTTAAAAATTATCTTAATCGGCTACTCTAATTGACACTCAAACACTATATCGATGAATTGAACTTCGAACAAGTTCAAATGATACGAGTTTTTGTAGCTTTAAAATTAATATTTCTTAACAATTTGTTACAGCCACCCATTCTGCAAGTCATAGTGGTGTGGCTTACTTTACCTGTGGAATTATGTTACTATTGGTATCCTTAATAATTCAATTATTGCTGAAAAAGAATGTTAGTTTTTCGTTTACTATTCAAGAACCTATTTTCTTTTATTGGATAGAAATAAAATATATTGTTGCCTTTCTTATTATTGAATTTATTGCGTATCGTAAAATTAAATTAGCCAAGTTTTCTATTTAGGCTTTCGCAAGATATTATATGGAAAAAAATTTGGAATATGGTATAATATATAAAAAATTGACGTAACTAAACCACGATGCTTTCACTACAAATACTAATTATTTTATCCTCCGCTTATAATAGATGCCAGTCGAGAGAAAACACTTTTAGATCACGAAGATGATAACAGTGGAACTGAGGAAGAATATGAACCTATTCCGAATGAAGATAGTCGATTTTATCGTATTATGCACATTCTGAAAAAGGTGATACGAATAAATGATCTGGTTATTCGAATGTTTAGGGTTCTACATAAATTGTAATATAATCCAATTCTTGATATTTAAATAATGTCTATCAATTGATACCATTTTAAGACATGGCCAGTTTTCACGGCACATTTCCTATGTTTTACAATCACCTATGGTATTTTCCCATCTCTTCCATCGCGTGTTATTTCCGTCAATTACCAAAGTCATAGCCCATTAACAGGTATTTCACAGATGAACCATTGAACTAGCCATGAAATATGAGAATGTATTTTACTTGCACTTTAGAATGATTTAATTTTTGCCTGTGTTAATTGATTGCATAGCACTGTCGTACAAAAATTATTAAATTACCATTTGCAAATAGTTAGTTATACCAATTATCTTAAGCATTGGATTTAACGATAGTTTACCTGTCATTTAGTGTTGATATTTATAAAGTTATAGTCTGTAAACAGGATTATAATCAGGCTACTAATATTTAAATGATTCATTTGAATCTGTATTATTCGTGCGACTGCGTTATATTTGCTTTCTGCGGTCTTTTTTTATTAAATAGAAGCTAATTTAAGATTATAGCTATCTAGTTAGATAATTTTAAGAAATAAATTGTAACAGATGCTTTGCTGTCTTATAAGTCGACGCCTCAATTAGGCGAATTTTCCATAAATGAAAGGTTGCCAGTCTCAATATGCGGCTCCTAAGTTAAAAACTGTCAGAATGTTAATCTTAATGGAAACACCTCCATTCGTTGAATATATTCAACTCTACATTTATTTCAGGTCCCTTATTTATACCAGTAGCGTGTTTCTTAATATATGCCGTCGCTGAAGTTGTTAGCGGAGTTGTTTCTAGATGGATATTATTGGTGAGTTAACCAATGTGCATATTGAATGTAAGCATGAAGAAACCTAAGAGTTAATGTAAAAGTACTACTACTCCTTTTACAACAATTGATCAGATTGAAGTTTTACATTTTTTGAAAACTGTTACAGAACTGTTTCTTTCTCAATCTATAAATCCTATTTCCAGACAATTTATATAGCTTGTAATTTATTACCATCGTTTAAAAAATAGATTTTATTGATTTAAAAGCATTTAAAACCTGGAAATTTATTTTTCTATGAATTCATGCTGATTATGATCTAACAGAATTTATTCAACTTTTATTTGCTTCATAAATATTATTAAATTTAGCCTAGGCAAAATCAAGGGCTGTCCTTATTGTTCTTATCCATAAGCAGAATTGCTTTTATTCCACTTTTTCTGTATTGTAATGTTCAACCACGAAAGCATTTACCAGTGAAAATCTATAATGATGTGGCTTACATAATGCTAGTTCTGCTGTTTGCTTTTTCTCATGGATATATCAATACACTCTGTTCAATGTATACGCCAAAGTAAGTTCCATCTTGAAAAATTTGACACCGAATTGCTTATGAAACTATAACACTGTTATTTAGCTGCCAATAGACCGTAGTAAAAAGCTTATTGATATACCAACCTATTATAGTTTGAATACTTAAAATTTAAGACAATTAATCATGATAAACCTATGAAAGATCTTCGTATTGATGCGATAAAGACACAATTTAAATATAAAATTTACACTATATGATACCTTCTATAGAATTAATGCTATTCTTATTGTAGATCAGAGATAGCTAGTGTGCTTATTATTAATTTAATCAAAATTCTATTATCTTGATTATTAAGAGAGTAAAGTAAAATTTTTAGATAGGAGTTAATTAGCAATTTTATAGCAAATACTAAGCTAGTTTTGGTATATGAATTTAGATATAGTGATGATATCGTAATAAATGGTAGATGAGACTACTATTCTTCGATATGTAATTGTAGATGATGAACGAAATCCCTTTCGCCATCGACTAACTTGATCAACTTCTACCGATATACTAATTTTTATTTTAGGCGTGTTCGAGCTCGATTTAGTGAATCTGCAGGAGTATTGGCTTACTTTGCTCTCATGGCTGGAGTTACTGCTGGCACTGTGCTGTCATTTGGATTGATTGCGATCGTTTAGTTCGTCAACGCAACCAAATTAATTTATACTTGCAAAACTTATCGTATGGATAATGAATGTCTGGTTTGGCTATGCTTAAGCCAAATAGCAGTATTTAGCAATGTTTAAAAAATGTAGATAATTGTAGTAGAGTGCTTTGCCTTAAATTTGAGTGCACTATTTTTTATAAGTATTGTTTGTCTGTGGGCTTAAAAAATTATATAAGCGAGCAGTTATCTAACACGACCTCAGTGTCGAAATTAAAATTTATGTAGGAATAATAATCTAAAGAAAATTTTATCTCTGGCTCCTTATATCGCAATAAAGTCTTTTACAAAATTTTCTTGAACAAAATAACGCAAAACCTTGCGGATCAGCTGTTCATTTTTAGCGACTTGTCTCTAAAGATATAAAAAAATTACATAACCGAAGAATTTAGAGAATCTAGTTTGTTCTATCACATCGTATGTTTCCGGCTGGCTCATAAATATCCTGATTAAGAATATCATCGTTCGCGTAATGAAACTATTTCAGATTTTCTAGCTAAGGTTTATAGTGAAAATGTTTGAGATTATAGTCTAGGTAAGTAGCAATATACGTAATCCAGTTGGCCTTATCATCACGTGCCTGTTAATTTGTTAGCTATTCGCACATCGCAGGGTTAGCGTTAATACGGCTTAACATCACTTCTCTAAAATATCATAATATACCATGATATATTAACAAACATATGGCATAAGGAATAATTTGTTGTACAAACGCTTGCTTGTAGTGTAGTCCTATAAACTGCACAAATTTTAATGTATTTGAATTTATTAACCCTAATTACGGAGACTTAAATTACAGTAACTTACTATTTGGCATATTTTTCTTAATTATATGCTTGCAAATGACTGCGTCAGTTCAATGGCGCAACCGAAACTTGCTGGCCCTTAAATAGTGATATTTATAAAATTGGTAGAATTAATAATTTATTGTAAACTTTTCATAAACGTAATCGATTCTAGTTCTAAATTTAATAAATTAGCGATGAGCATAGCTCTTAGAAAATGGTAAGATGAATGCCGTAATTAAAGTGAACTGTTGATTAGGCCTAGGATTTAATTCCAATGGATCCGAGCATAACTTGCACACTACTTTGCCAGATTTAAATTAGTATCCTAACCATCTTGTATTTGTTAATAATGAAGCGTTTTCGAAATTTTAGTAATTACATTTGACACTTAATCTCGAAATACACATGGTCGAGTATGGAAGTCAAGCTGATACTCACGCATAAAATCATTTCCCTCTGAAGCCTTAATTTGTTAAAATTGCTATTTATGTCAATAAGCAGAATTACTTTTATTCCTCTCTTTATCTATTGCAATATCCAACTAAGGAAGCATTTGCCTATCAAAGTCTACAGCAATATCGCTTATATTATTTTAGTTCTACTGCTAAGGTCTTTCTCATGGATACGTCAGTTCACGATGCGCAATGTATTTACCAAGGTTAGTGCTGTCATAAAAGAATCTGAAATTGTATCATTTAAAGCAATAGTATTACATTTTAGCTGTAATTACTTGTCAGTTAGCATTCACTGATATATAAACCTACTAAAGCTCAAAAAGATAATTTGGAATATATTATAGTGAGCATAAATCTATAAAATATCTAGATATTGACAAATGGCAGTTGTGGTACGAGAATAGAAGTAGATTTTACTTTCTATGATTTTTTATACAGAATTGGTACTATCAATTAAGCTAATCATGGTCTGCTAGTATGGCGTGCTTATTATTTATATATTTATAATCGATTTAATCAACACTATTTTCTGTATACGTGTAAACATGATCTTAGCTTATAACAGAGTACGTCATTATCTGCTTTGGCATGAAATAGTAATCCTATAGAAGACATGTAGTTAATTATTGCTGTCTCGTATATGAATGTTGATGCAATATTCATGTCATTACTGATAGTAGATAAATCTTAGACCGATAGTTTAAATAATTGAAATTTGAAAGTAACTGAAGTTTTATATCGATGGCCACAGGCTATCATCTGCTCTTAATTACTGCAATGATTATTAAAGGGCTCCTAGCGATAGTTTTTTAATCGAATACACTACAACGAATAGTGTCGCTGTTTTAGTTTTAATTGCAAATCAGTGCCACTTACTATTCGATATTTGATTTTTACTAATCATTCAAGATTAATTTGTAATCTAATTATGTGATTGATCTAGTTCTATTCACACTTTTATTTCATTTAGGCATGTTCAAACTCAATTTACTGAATCTGCAGGAGCACTGGCTTACTTTTCCCTCGTGACTGGAATTACTGTTGGTGCAGCTATTTCATTTGGAATAAGCAAGATCATTTAGTTCAATATTGAATTTAAATTCATTCATGATTACTTCACCTGTAGTACTTTTACCGGAAATATCTATGGTGATATTAAAGTCGGAAGCAATATTTTGCTGTTTTTTTAGATAACTGCTACTGAATTTCAGCATGGAATTTGGGTATCCTATCAATTTTAATTAAACAAGGCAGTTTGCAGTAATTCTAGCATTTAAAAGATAAAAAAAACGAATAGCTTGCGAGTACTAGGTTGCTTTATTTTGTTGTACTTTTAATCGATCTGATTATATCGTGAAGTATTTTATGTTGTATCTTGTACTTGTCTAACTGCTTGTATAGTTGAAAAGTTTATTAAAATCCTGTTTGTCACATCAATTTGCTATTTTCCCGCTCTGCATGTTAATTGTGACTTACTTGTTGCTAATAAGCATGTGTATCGCTGATCTGAACGCTGTGATGTATTCCGCAAAGACTCGGATCTTAATCCATCATACTGTAAAAGAGTTAATAATTTATGAATATTAATGTTAATAGCTATTTAAGTTTACTAATCTTGCTAGTGTTACCCATGTGCAGGCCTTTCTATCTTCTCCAGGTTATAGTCCTCTACGAATTAAGGAAATTAATGACTATTAAACCTTGCCAATCATTTTCCCTCCTACTCTACATTAGATTGGAAGAAGATCGCCCAAGATTCAATCTTCGTCCGATAGTTTAGGTTACTAATTATCATGTATGCAATTATACTTAAGACTTGTTACAGATTTCTATTTTATTGAGTAATTCGTCCATTCAGATTCGCCATACACGATGGAGCAAAATAATAATATCGTTGATTCTCTTAGAAATTAATTCTATAACGGCTACAAAAACATGTAAATTTTCCATGGAAACGGACTGATTAGGTAGAGCAAACGTACATTAAGTTTATGAATAATTAACCTTTAAATTTTAATTGGTATAAACTTATATTATTCTGGCTACAACTTAAGCAAGTACCATAGTTATGATTAGTGATTGAAATTACTAAGCAGGTAGACGCAAGCGAGAGTAACATTTAAACTCCAAATAAAGATGGATTAATATTATCATCACGCACCACCATACTCGCATTACTCCAACCTAGCAGTATTTATTAAAATGCAGTACGTGCATATTTTACTTCAGTTTTTGCAAAAAGAGCGTAATATCTAATAGTGTATATGCTGCAGCAAAGCTAGATAAAGACTAATTATATAATATTACCGTTAAATTATATATTACCAATTATTAAGCGCATAGTTATTGTAGAATCTACAATATAACTGCAACTCATTGGATTCTTGCACGTAAAAAAACAGAAACTGTATCAGCGAGAACCTACTTTTACATATATTTTCCATTTGATCTTGTTTTATATTATAATTTTGTACCCAAAATGCCTAGAATGATGCTTCTTATAACAGGAATGCAGACGATACAGAAATAATTAGCTAATGCCAGTAAGATGGTGCTATGTGTAACTTAACTCTAGCGTCATCAATCACTGCAATTTCAGATAAAACATAAAGTACTTAAACTAATTGATTATTACAGATTTATTGCTATAAGCGAATTATTTTAGTGCAAAGCAACCTAGTTTACTTAAATAAATAGACCAATAGGTATTTTTATTTGCAGTAATATCAGCTAGAATAAAAAATGATTGATTTGAAATGAGCATTTCTAAAAATTGCAAGTTTAGAGATCGTTTGGTTTTAATGCTCGCTTAACTTAGATTAAGCCGTTGATAGTGCTAGTGTGTCTTTCTAGGATCGAGTAGACTGGACAAATTGCAGTGTAAAATTTTAATTCTACTGGATTATAGAAACTCCTTTTGCAAAGAGTAAAGTGGTACTGTATAGTATTTTTATTTTAATTTATCAACAACTGCATACGTTAGTGTGTTATTCCAGGATAGACCAACCGAAAAAGTGAGTTTAAAACCTGAGTTTCCATTCCGTGTTTAGACAGCATGGTGATAATTGAAAGCGGTCTTTCCTTAGTCATTCGCAAGGATGACTAAGTAATAATATTGGTCTCCCTTGAGAGCTAATGTAATTGTTTCGTCTGATGATCACATAATAATACATTAATGAATAGTGCGTTTATGCCAATCGTTGACTAACTAATCATATAATGATATCATATGTTGCATCTTACTACGAGAAAATGGTTCATAATGTGTTCACCATTATAATTTATATAAAAGATGAATAAATACTGTTCTCATTCACTATCGAAAAAGCAATTAAACGGTCAAGAATTTCGTCAACTACGATTTTCAACGCTAGACACTATATAAAAAGGCCTTGATCACATTCTATATTGGGAAACGAATCTGTTTTTCATTTTATATAGAGAATAATTTGCCTACTCGCTTCTTTACTGAACTGGATTGAATTTTCTCCATTAAATATGATATGATATCTAACTGAACCGAAAAATTTTCCATCATGAGTTCAAAAAGCGTTGGAGCTAAACCGACTGATAGGTAAATGAATCCATGATGATGTAGAAATGGCACTTGTATTGCATTCATACGTAATGCAGGATATAAATTAAATTCCCGTATTTCATTTTGTTGCTTTCGAGCTTATTTTGCTTTCACCATCAAATGAGATCTGATCATAACGGATCAGAACAGGATCGTAGAAGTTAATTAAGTGTTACTTAAAGAAAGAAAAAGTATTTTTATTTCGCTTCTTTTTCGCCTTTCTTTGACAATTGCTTGCGTTTTTTAGCTAATATCACCTTAGTTGACTTGACTGCTTTTATAACATGATGGCACATGACAGTAGGTTATCCTATTTTTAAATTTCGCCCAATATTTTTCTCAGCATATCACGATCATCCATCCAATATATTGTTATAATATGTGGCTATAACGATACGACATAACGGAGCACTCTCCTATTTTCACCTTTTTTGTTTACTAGTTTTCGTATCTTTACGATTTGTCAACCTTATGTGCACATTTTATACGTAAGTTATTTATTCTATATATAGTCATAATGCTTAGATTAAACGATGTCTTGATAATATAACATTTAACCTAGTTAAATTTAACGATGATGTCATGCTAGTATACGTTATACTCCATGCTTGCTGCAGATTAATTCTTATTAAAAATCATTCAGCATTACTGCAGTAAATAGATTGGATTTAAGCTGTTTATATGGGTGGGCTATAGTTATAGCCGTATTTAGTGCCATTGTACATTTTTAACTTCGTGATCGTCTGCAAAATTACTAAATAGTTATTACTTGTGTTTTTCCATTTCTTTTTAGCTTTCTTGATTGCAAATTTCATTGGTTAATGTGTAGTTTGTGCCGTCTTCTCTAATGCTTATTTTATTCTCAGTAACAATGAACTTCATATTTGACTAATTGCCACTTCCTTGAAAATAGAATTTTAACTCAGGGATTATAGTTGGATTTAATCTAGATTATATTTCATACATCACAATTGGACTTACCCTAGTGGCTGACATTGAGTTTATTTCACCTCCTCTTAGTTTAAACTTATTCCAATTATCGTTTACATTACTTTCATTAATTACTTCTTTTTTTTATTACATTATTGATCTTACCTCATTTCTTTCATGGTTCAAGTAATTTCCAATTTTAATTTTTAATATTCCTCAAATTATTAAGCTTACCGTTAGCTAGCAATCCTATGCTTAACCAACTAAAATTGAATTTATTTTACAGATACAATATAATTTACATTGTCTTCATTATCCTGGGAACCGCTAGTACCTTGCCCGTGCATATTTTTTATACCGCATCTTCGGTAAGAAATACAGCGTCTTGAATGCTGTATCCTTTCCTTTGATCGACATTTATCCTGCTAAATGTGGCAGTAAACGTTAATTCTTTATTAATGGAATAACTGATTTGGATATCTGGTAGTACTATAAGGCCAAGCTAAAAGGAACACGATATGAGCATGTCATTGAGAACTATTTGATGTTGGCTTACAGTTTACCTACCTTATTTATGGGGGTTATCAATCTTATGCTACTGCGATCGTAAGTAGAAATCAGATAAAATTGTCGATATTCATAATTCTAGTTTAGTCTTTGACCAAGCTAATAAATGATTTGATTTCAATACATTTAATTTTGGTTTAGATTTGATGTCAGAAAACGACTAGCCTTTTCAGTAATCATGCTTATAATCTTTTTCACAGCTACGGCTATATTGGCAAAATTAGATACAACCAAATGTAAGGCTTTCTCGTTTATAAATTGTATCATGAATAGCTTTATTTGTTATCAATAAATGATACCCTACATAGCGCCTATTCTATCGTAAGATCGTTTTTTCCAATTATATGCTAAGTGGTATTTTGTTTCCAGCTTTTCTATTGGAAATTACTATTTAACATCTGATGGAACGATCAGATTTATTTGTCTAAGCAAATATAGTTACAAATATTTAGTTTGGGGTAGATCGATCTAAGTGTTCATTGCTGGTATTGAATAAATTTAAAGGTTACGAAAAATTTTACTACAAGTGACGATTTTTTCTTCATTCTAGAACTAATGAAGGTTAATTTTGTGATTTATTTATTGTAGGGAAAATGACATTTTTTATATTAAGCCTAACAATTATCTCCTTGAACAGCGGTAGGTAAGGCATTGCCCACAAGTTATTTACCATCCGTTGCATATACGGGGGTATATATAAAACATTATCCGTTTAATTATTCTAACACAGTTACAAAATATTAATTATGTCTTTAATCATGCAACAAATATATTCAGGAATAAACTGATATTCTTGACAGATAAATGGATGACTAATTACAGCATACTATGCAGTAGTTAAGCTATCAATGGCTCGTAATTCTACGCGCAAACTAATTTGTACTAGAATAAAATTGGTAAATCAAAATCATTCTAGTATTAGCTGCTTCTATCCCTACTCTAAGCTAGTCACTCAATAATTTGGCCCCAATTGTGGTGACTAAAGTAATTTATGAATAATTATTGTTGAAAAATAGAATAGTAATCGCATAGTTATACAATGTAACTGAGTACATCACCAATCCTAAGACTACTCCCCTCTCCAACACCTCACTAATCTTTCTCCAATATGTAACATTCTGGATATTACCAATTGTATTTGGTCATCATTCTAATATTTTCATTGGGATCTCTATTTCACTATAAAATATATTTTACATCAATTAATCACAAAGTCTTAACGTAATTAAGTAGAGGCTACTTGAAACAACTCGAAAATTTTCAATGCCTCGCTCATTGAATCTCGTCACAATGTTTCTTATGCCTCAAGTTTAAGAACTAGTCATTTTATTATCATTATTTCTCATTCTAAAATTGGTCATGAGCAAGCAGCATATTAAATCGATATTAACGTAAATGTTTATTGCTACCTTTGCAGCATTTTTAGCTGAGGTAAATGTAAAAATTTCACTTTTCTTAATTCCTTCTTGTATCTATGTAACAGTGTATTATAATAAATATGCGTATAATTAATTATGCCTGCATTCTTTTTAATTCTTATCTAGTGTTTGGAAGTACTATATATCAAGGAAGCTTATTTGGATTAGCTAGTATTTTTCCAAAGGAATATGCACAAGCGCTGATCACTGGTCAAGTAAGGGGTTTTATGAGCCAACATTGAATAATACTATTGCAGAAACTAATTGTTTCATTGATTCTTTTCAGATTAAAGTACTCATATGTAGCATAGATTTGAGTTTATATTTAAAACAGCAGCCTTATTGCGGCTTAATTTTATTCACTAGATTTCGAAATTTTTATTAATTAGTTTATTTGATTTCTTTACAGGCTTTAGCTGGTGTTTTTACAGCAATTGTCAACATATTATCATTAATCGGTATAGTATAGACCTTAATTGTGGATCATCATGTAATTTCCTTATGTTAATGCAATTACTAATGTATGAGTATCTTAAAAACATATTTAACTAGTAATAAATTTTTCGAATAAATATTTGTATGCTTAAATACCTGTAATATATATGTGATGATATAAAACTGTCATCAGTTACTAGTTAGTAACTAGTTAAATTGCCCATCTACTAGTTTCTAGACAACTTAACAAGTTTGGATTAGGTAAATAAACATTCGATTAACCTGAGCAATAAATAGTTTATTTAAAGCTAGCTCAATCCATTCGCTACACTAGGACGAAAGTTTAATAAACCTAATTTTCCGGCTATGTTAATGCATATTTTGCATATATATATATTTCGAGACCTCGGTGTGATGTGAATGCAATTGTAATGCACTTGCTTTGTCTATATTTAAATATGCTTAGATCTTTTCGAATAAGGCATCGTACCTGATTAGATTAAGTTAATTTAATGCTGGTACTAAAAATACCATTAGTTTCCAGAACTTATCACTATTGCAACGCTTCCGAATTCCTTTTTACCATTAATTTGAGATTATAATTATGTACGCATAGTTGGCGTTCTAGCATTATGTCCATTAGCTAACCCTTGATACTAATGCAAAGATCATGAAATTTTTTGTACTAAACTTAAATATTTTTGCGATGACTTATTGCAGCTAGCCATTCTGCAAGCCATAGTGGTGTTGCCTACTTTATCTGTGGAATAATTTTACTATTGGTATCCTTAATAATTCAATTATTACTGAAAAAGAATGTTAGTATCTCATTCATTTGCTAACGGCTAAAGAATCAACAAAAAGTTTTTGTATAGATATGACAAGCTATTGATATTTTCTTGATGCTGATCAATTCAATTTTTTATTCTGTTTCTAGGCTTTTGCAAGATATTATATGGAACTAAATTTAGAATATGGTATATGATCGCCCAGCGATTAGAGTGAAATATTTATCCTGAACCTCTTATTTGCAAATATGTATAAATTATTTTACGATTCAATTATACAATAGATACCTATCAGAGGAAAAAACTGTTAAGCCATGAAGACGAATTTAGTGAAACCGATGAAGAACATGAACGTGTTCCAAATGAGGATAGCCGAATATATCGTATTAAGCACATTATAAACAAGGTAATAATGAACAGAAAATTGAATATACCACAGCAGCAACTCGCATTACCGTAGTCCTGGATTTTGAAACAAAGTAACTTCTAAAGGGAAAATATCGATCTTGATTTAAAATCTTAATCCCTAAACATCAAATCGAAAATTGCAGTGAATGAAACGTGATACGTCAATTGGCAAATTATTATTAGAAGCAATAATGCAGAGAATGCAGATAATACTTCCTGAAGTAATTGCACAACAATGTGAAAAATTACTGTTAGCTATATTATAATCGAGTTATAGTAATGCTCTCTTTTTGTAGATATTTTCTCCAGTTTAAATACAATTTTTCTAGGTGAATTACCTAATTAATTACTTGTTACGCGCTAGTAATTGATAGGACTAAATCTACATAATTATAATGTAAGCCACCTCTGATTAAATTCTAATTAAATCACTGCCTCTAGTACAACCATGCCAGTTCAGATCGATTATTTGCTTACAATTCTATTCTAAATTTAGCTTTCAATCCTATCACCAGTGGATGGTTGAATGTAGTCAGCTCGATTAAGTTAAAAATTTAGCATAAGTAGGATTTAACATTTGTAGCTGTACAGATTCAGTTATTTCGATTTCGTTAGAAATGAATGCAAGTAATAAGCAGGACTTAATAAAATTGAAGTCTAAATGAAAACGGTAAATTATAACTCAGATATCCACGAGATTCAGATTAAGAGAAATTTGTGATTCATTTGTAAGATGGTTTTTACTGTAATCTAAAAGCTAAGATAAACACAGTTACAAATAGTTAAAAATATTTATGTTATTATTATAGAATTGTCTACTTTGATTACCTATTGGTAGTAATTTATCTAGTAATTAAATTTATAGAGTATAAATTCTAAAAGATAGCTCTGACGGTAATGAAAAAAAGTGATATGATTATTTCATAATTTAAAATTCTTTTAATGTTTAACTAAATATAATTCTTGAAACTGGTTGCTCTAGTCAATTTATCTCATTTCAGACATGGCCAGTCGTTTTGGCGTATTTTTTTTGCCATACAATCACGTTTTGTGTATTTCCTTCCATTTCGTCTCGTGCAGTTTCTATCTACCATCAAAGTCATAGCAAATTAACAGGTGTTTCTAAGGTTTACGTTTTAATAAGATATGAATAATAGGAATACTTCGTCTACTTTTACGCCTGAAGTTGATGCTATCATTATCAAATGTTCGAATTGTAGTAATGGCAAAATAAATTTTTTATGTAACGAATACTATTACAAGTTGGTTAGGCTACTATTTCCTTTAAATTTTTTATTAGTATTGATGATGATTAAATTATGAGGCTGAATCGTAATCAGCCTGCAGTTTCTAAGTAAATCTTTGCTCTAATTTAATCTCTGTATTTAAATTTATTGTTTTATGTTCGCTTTCTGTTCTCTAAATTAGTAATTGAGGCTGAGGAAAATTCTCAGCTAATCAATTAATTAAGCACTGCTAAAAACTATCTTTCGAAGACTAATCTTGATATAATTGAAGATCATTTTACTATTCATAACTTAATATACAGGCTATGAACAATATTTTATTTCATAAGCTGCATACTAGAATTTAAAATTGACTGTCATTTAAGAAATATCAAAATTAATTTACTCTAGGCATCACCTGCGTGACACTATTTAATATTCATTTTTTTCTAAGGTCCTTTATTTATACCAGTAGCGTGCTTCGTAGTTTTTGCTGTAGCTGATGTCGTTGGCCGACTTATTTCTAGATGGATATTGATGGTTAGTTCATTCATGCAGACATTTTACTCATTAAAGTGTAAGAAAATCTGAACGTTAACAAAATAGCAATAGTATGCTTATAAAAAGTCATCAGAGTAATGTCTTATACCTTTTATATTGGTATTATGATTAAACTGTTTACTTAGTCTGTATTTTCTAGAACAACTGCTTATTTAAAATTTCCTACAACATAAGCATATACTTTTGACATAGTATTTAATGGACCGATGTTGCAGTCACTACTTCAGTGTCTTAATTAGAATAGAAATATTAAGAACATCATTTCTAGTTCAAGTGCTTTAGCTTATTTATCTGCACTTAAATCAATAAATTAATAGACTAAATATTCATTCATTAATATTAGCTAGTATTAAAAAAATGAAATGATAAAATTCTGAAGCATTTTAGATAAGAATAAGGAAAGTAATAATCTTAAGTAAATAGAAATTAGATATTGTAAATGGCTACCGATTACGATCTAACTTGTCTTATTCTACTTTGCTTTACTCCTTCAATACTAACGGATCTAGCCAAGTCAAAATCAAGGTCTATCTTTACTGTTTATGTCTATAAGCAGAATTTCTCTTATTCCACTCTTCCTCTATTGTAACGTCAAACCTCGACAGCATTTACCTGTCAAAATTTACAGCGATATTGCTTATATCATTCTAATACTACTGCTTGGTATTTCTCATGGATATGTCGGTACACTGTGTGCTATGTATGCACCAAAGTAAGTACTGTCCTAGAAAGAACTGAAAATGTATAGTCATAATGACGATATTATTACTTTTTACTTACAATTATTTCTATCAACACTCACCGAGGTAAAAAAAGATCACAATTTTAGCGGATAAATTAAAAATTTATTACAATTATGGTAAATTCACAAAATATTTAATTATTGATAAATGCTCGACGTAGTTTAGAAATGGATTTTATCTTTTCTGAATTCCTACACAGAATTATTTATTGATTTCGATAACCAAGATTGCTATTGCTGTAGGCTTTATATCGATTTAATCAACTTTTTCACAATGTTTGGGTAAGAATAATCACAGTTATAAGTAGAGCACGGCATTATCTTAGCTGGGAATTAAATAATCCTATAAAAGATACGTAGCTAATAACTGCCACCTGGTATATGAATTATGATGTGATAGTCGAATCACAAGTAATAGTCTGACGGAGCTTTGACTGATATGATAATGATTGAAATTCGAGCATAAATGATGATTTACTTTGGTGATCGTAACAGGCTACTACATGTTTTTAATCACTATAAGAATTAATGATTATTGCAAATAATTGTGAAATCGAATTCATAAGCAACAAATTATTTTGTCCAGTTTTCACTCTTGATGGATGTTCAGGGCTACTTATCTGTTTGGTATTTAATTGCCAATAATTAATGAGTTGAAAATTCTTTTCGCCATCTCCTATTTACTCGCATGTCATCCTTTTAGTAGATCCCAATAGTTTAACAAGGTATGATATAGTTATACTTTCATTTTCATTTTATTTAGGCGTGTTCAAGCTCGATTTAGTGAATCTGCAGGAGCCTTGGCTTACTTTGCTCTCATTGCTGGAGTGGCTACTGGTACGGCAATATCGTTTGGACTCATTGCGATCATTTAGCTCATTGATGCAATCCAATTAACGCATATTTGCAAAAAACTTACACTGCTAATACTGGGTCGTGGTAAACAATTGCAATAATTAACTGAGTCTAACTGTTGCTATGATTTAGTATCAAGTTCGGATATCCAGTTAATTTTAAATTGTGATTAGATTCAAAGGGATTAAAGACATTTAATTTAAATACGAATAACTTGGAAAAAGTAGATTAAGTTATTCCGTTGTTTGCTTCTAGCTGATTTACGAAGTTGTGAATATCGGGGGTGCTAATGAATTGTCCTCAAATCACTATACTTATGCAATTTATTTAACCAATTTAATGTTTCCACTTGTTATTTTCGTACTTTTGCATGATATGACTAATTGCTGTCAGTGAAGCTTATTGTGATCTGATAGGTATAATTTATTGCACAAAGATACAAATGTTTATCAAAATATGCTGAGAGGAGTCAAAATTTATTGTATGTTAATGATTCGAGGAC